TCCCCTACTCTGTGCAGCTCAGCACTCCCGGCCGGTCAGCATGCAAGCATGGCCGTCACCCCCGTCCTGGGTGGATACTCGCGCCGTCCCCTGCATCCTTAGATGCTGTAACCCTTTCGGATCCCGGGTGCCGTGCCCAAGGGAGATGCACCGTGGCTGGAACGAGCCCCATCCCAATGCCCCTCGTCCCTCCCGGGGGTCGGGGGTCTTACCTGGGCGGCGGCGAAGGTCCCCCCGTGGGAAAGACAGCTGGCCTGGGGAGGGGGGTAGAATCCAGACCCCAGGCTCCTCTCTGTGGGTCCTCCTCCCAAATGTGCTGGAGGAAATGTCCCCAAAGAGAAACTGAAGCTGGCTGTCTCTTCTCAGCGTTTTTATGGTCATGACCAGGGGCCCCACCCTTAAAACCCGGACCCAGTGGGGCTCCGGGTGGGCGGGGTGGGGTGGGGAGGAGGTCAGTGACCGGGTCGCGAACCCCGCCCCCATGTCTGTGTGTGTCTCTTCCCTCGAAGCCAGGGTCAGCGACTGTGTACTTACCCTGGAATGAGTCCCCTTTCTTTCAAAACTGTTGTTTTCCTATTCTCGTTTCTCTTTGCGTGTTCCTCTTTGTTACAATCCTAATTACTGCTCACCATGCAGGGCCGGCTTGGGCAACTTCCTGGCATTGGGGAGTATATGCCACATACACCAGTGGCTGGGTGGAGGGTTCCTGTGCTGTCTTCCCGCCAGGTCCCCGGGAAACGCTCTCCCGTCTGTGCCCCCGGAGACAGTCCCTGGTTAGGACCCTAGGTCCCCGGAGAGGACGCCACCCAGGGTCAAATGCAGCCCTTCAGGTGGCAAGCGGCCTCCAGCTTTATTTCTAGCAGCAATGCCCTGTGCTCAGCCCCTGCTGGACAGACCCCATTCAGGGACAGGGGCTGACCGCTAGTCTTCACCCCGCTCACGCCTGTGAGAACACACCAGCTCCTCAGTGGCTCCGGAGCTCTGATCCACCGGCACAGAAAAGGGTCTTTGCAGACCTAAGCGAGTCTAGGATCTGAGATGAGCTCATGCTGGAGTAGGGTGGCCCTCAATGCAATGACAGGTGTGCGTCTAGGACACACGGAGACACAGAGGGGAAACGACGTGACAGAGGGGACCGACTGGCTCGTGCGTGGCAGTGAGTCCAGAACAGGCTTCCCCCACGGCACGGCCACACAGAGGAGAAAGCAGCCGCTACTACCCCGCTGAGCCCCAGGCTGGACCCCTTTCCGGGGCAGCGTGCATCTAAATGCCCCGGGCACGGAGCTCAGATGCAAAAGTCTGGGTGGGGGTATTTGAAGCCAGGTCCTGAAGATGCCCCAGGCAGCAGGTGCCCGGCTGCAGGTGTCTAAGACACGGAGGGGAGGTAGGGGAGAGGCCCAGGGCCAGCGGCACAGAGCGGCCAGCGAAGGACAGGGCTGGGACGGGGGACGGTCAGGGTCCGTGGGAACCTGGGAGTGTCGTGGGATGAAGCGTTCTCCTTGGGCAGAAGTGGAAGCTGCCGAGGATTATTAAGGAGGCAAAGCTGACGTCAGGAGTTTGCACCCCAGGTCACAACACACCGACCTCCTTGCAGCTCAGGACTCTGCTAAGGACGGTGTGGCCAGAACCAGGGAAGGACTCAGATCCACCTGCTGGGCCGGACATTGACTCCCCGACCCGGAGAGGGGCTTTGGGTCTGTTTCTCTGTTTGCTCCTTCCTCCCTCCCGCCCTCCCCACTGCCGGCTGCCAGGCTAGCGTCAGCCGTAACCCCGGACAAAACTGCAGGTTTAGTCTCTGGAGGGTCCCTGGACCGGGGATCCTGGCAGGGCTGAGGATGGTGGCCCCCTCCAGGCACCAGCCCCGAAGGCATCTGTCCATGCAAACACGAGACCTCTTCCCTCCGAATTCTAGAACGTCTTTAACTTTGCTTGGGGAACCCCGCTCGCTCCCCACCTGCCTGCTCCATGCTTCCCAAAGTCCCCATGCTGGTATATGGCCAGACAACCAAAGACTTCCAGATTTCAGAAAGTGGAAAAGCAGGACCAAGCAAGCAATGGGGGTCTGGAGTGGGGGTGGCGAGAGCTTCCGTCGTGAACAGAGAGTGCAGCCCTGCAAGGACAGGGAGTGCACCTGGGGGAACAGAGGAACAGAAGACAGGAAGCGGGAAGGGAAAGTGCGTGAGGCGGGAGGCACAGCTGCATGGTGGGGCAGACCCCGAGTAGAGCCTCTCCACCCAGCAAGGTGCACCTGCGCACGGAGCCCTTTGGGGACACACCAGGCTCGCTTGGGGATGTGGTCAGCTGTGGGAGGAGGACAGGGTTCATAAGAAACCCTTGGGCACACTGGCCCGGGGATGGCAAATGACAGCTTTAGCCTCATGGCTGTTGGGGGAAGGTGGGTCCTCAGAGGTGGTCAGATGGGCACCTCTGAGGGGCCCACGGAGGTGGCAGGTGCCCCGACATTATATTATGTTATATGATATCTTATTATGTTATATATTATTGTGTTATATATTACTGTATTATATATTATTATATATTATTATGTTGTATTATATATTATTGTATTATGTTAAAATGTATTCTATAAAACACAAACTATGTATTACGTATAGTACATTATTATAACACATGCACACTCATGTATTCTATCCACTATATTAATATCCACTATATTAATGTTGAGATTAATTAGTATCTATTAATTATTATATAAACACTTTATTTTCTTAATATTTTTATTAATTAATATGAATGTACCGGAGTACTCACGCATATTAATGTTTTCAATATGCTTACGTAGGAGGAAATGATTTGTCTTTCTGTCTGGATGTGCTGCGACCACGTACCCGTTTCCAGTGGGGCAGGGGGACTGGAAGGAGTAACGTGATCTGAGCCGTCACCCGTGGCCCCGCATCATGGACTCTTCTGCGTCCACCTGTTCCATCAGGGGGGCGGAAAGTGAGGCCCCCCCTCCCCACACAACCCAGACCCTGTTCACACGGACTCGGCCCTGGTATTCCGAAGCATTTCTGGAGCTTCTTTCTTGGGAAGACCAGAGGCATTTTATCCAGTCTTCCCTGCACATTACCTGCGGACGATGCCTCCTTTCTCTGCAACGCCTGCCTCCCAGTTAAGAAGTCCCGTGAGTTTGGGGGTCGACAGCCTGGTCTGAGCAGGACCGTCATGAAGGCAGGTCCAGGATGGGAGGGGGCACCTTGAGGGCCTCTTAGGGAGGGAGGACTAGGTCTGGGGGGTCTCAGACTCCTGGCCGCCGCACCCCCGCAATGCACCCTTCAATATGCCGGCGTGGATGATGGTCTGCGGCTCAGACAGAAGCAGGTGGGTCCTCCTGCACTGGGGTCTCCGAGCTGCAGGAGGACCCAGGACCCAGCATGTAGGAGTCCTTTACGTGCCCGGTGCAGGGGTCTGGGGAAGACCCACAGTCCTGCTCCTCTGAGAGCCCAGGGCAGGAGCCGAGGTGAAATGTGCATCCAACACACCTTGTGAGCTCTGAGGTCCTGCAGACACCCAGCCGCGTGCTCCCCTAGGCGTCCCCAGGGAGCTTCAGGGCCAGTTTCTGCTTTGAAGCTGGCCTTGTCCTAGGATCAGGTGGTTGCATGACCCCCCCACCCCGTCCTCCTCTGTGCAGTTCCCCCGAGATGAAGGGATTCCCTGGTGAACTTTCCCGGCTAAAAACACAACCGCCAAACACTCTGCTCCTCCCCCTTCTGCTCTGAGATCACCAGGCTCTGGGACAACCTTGCCCACATCACTGAGGCTTGCCCTCCACTCTGTGCAGAAGCTCCCCCCACATGCTCCTTCTCCCCGAGATGCCTCGGGCTGCACCCTTGCTGCTTCCGGGGGAAGCGGGCGTTTGCCCTTCACCGGCACGCTGTGTCGGGGAGATGCAAACCCCTTCTGCAATTTTTCTGCTCCCCAAATAAACTATTTTTTTTTTTAATTTACTTATAGTTTTTTTCTTTCAGAGGGTGGGGCAGAGGGAGAGAGAGAGCATCTCAAGCAGGCTCCACGAGGGTGAGCCAGACGCGGGGTTCACTGTTAGGACCCTGAGATCATGACTTGAGATGGAATCAAGAGTCGGATGCTTAACTGACTGAGCCACTCAGGGGCCCTGGAAAATAAACAGGTTCGGTTACTGTGCTGAGCCGAATGGTGCCTGCCCAGGTTTATGTCCCTTGGAGCCTGGGAAGGGGGCCTTATTTGGAAATAGGGTCCTTGCCGATGTGATGAAGTGAAGGATCTGAGATGAGCTCATCCTGGGTCATCCAGGTGTCCCTAAATGCAATGACCGGTGTCCTTAGACAGAAGGGGAGACACACAGAGAGGAGAGGCCTCGTGAAGACAGAGGCAGAGACGGGAGGGACGCGGCCACCAGCCCAGGGATGCCTGGAGCCCCGGAAGCTGGGAGAGGCAGGGAGGACCTCCCCTGGGCCTCAGACTCTGGTCTCCAGAGCTGGGAGGGGATGAATCCCCGTGGTTTTAAGCCCCCAGTTGTTGGTCATTTGTCACGGCCAGTGCAGGATGCTCCTCTCATCATAATGCTCTTCCTTATTCTTCTCTCGACCCTAAGCACTCACCCCCGGCCCCTCACTCTGGCCCCAGCTCCCAGCCCCCAGTCCCAGGAAGCCTGGCCTGGCCCGGCGGTCCTGGACCCACTGAGGCACACAGCTGCCCGGTCCATTCCACAACCTGCGGGTGCCCGGCGCGGGCTAGGGCTGCATTCCCAGCTTCCGGTTTTTAACGTAAAATCCGTGCACGAAACGGGAGGCTCCCGGATCCAGCTCATCGGCGCAGCCCTAGTGCGTATTTACGGCAGAAACTTCTCTCTTTGGCTCACACGGCCTCGTCCCGTGGTTGCCGAGTCCTTCCCGTCACCTCGGGCCGCTGTGTGCTTATCGCCCTCGGCACCTTGACGGGGCGGCTCCAAGCCACACGGGTGTGTCGGCGGCCGGGACAGGTGGCCGCGGGGGTGGCCGATAGCGGGCGAGCGCTTCCTCTGCCCCGAGGACATGGTTGTCTTTCTCGGCGCGAGCGAGCCTTTTCGAAAGATGTGGACTGTTTTCTTCTGTGTATTTTAACCCCGCCCCGCCCCCCAAACACGGAAGCTTTTCAACGAAAACCTTCTTATCAGCCAACATTGCTTCTTGTGAAATAGGTTTCTTCACAGGGTAGACTTTTTTTTTTTAAATTTTTTAAAAGATTTTATTTATTTATTTGAGAGAGAGAGAGAGGACGAGCAGGGGGAGTGGGAGAGGGAGAAGCAGGCTTCCCGCCGAGCAGGGACCCCCGACGTGGGGTCGATCCCGGGACGCCACCATCATGACTTGAACCGAAGGCAGACTGAGCCACCCAGGCGCCCCCAGTGTAGACTTGCGAGTGGATCCGTCTGTGCCGTGTAATCCGCGCGGACATCTCCCCGCGCCGCGTCTGCGTGAGCGCCTTCCGCGTGCTTCCTCACGCCCTGGAATGCGCGCACACGGCCCGGAACAGTGTTTTCTTCCGTAAATGGTCCCAGCCGAACCCGGTGTTTAGTATGCGGTTGTGCGGAAAAGCGAGCGAGGGGCGCCATCCTGAATTCGCCACGCGCCATGCGCATCCTCTGCGCCCGCGAGCCGCGAGCCGAAAGGCGAGTGGGGAGAGCGGACGTGAGTGTCCTTCATCCCGAGTCCTGGGCACCTGGCGTCTGCCTCCTGCCGGGGTGGGTGGGGGGACACCTGGCGGCCCCCTTCCCCAATCCCTGTCCTCCTCCTGAGAGCTCCACGAGACACACAGACGGAGGCACAGACAGAAGGACGTCCCGATCCCGCTTTCCACAGGAAAAACTCGGGGGCGAGCAAACCCACAAGGACCCGTGAGATCATCCGACGTCTCAACAGCCTCCCGCCTGTGTTCCCACGACTCTGGACACGCGATCCCACGTCCCGCTCCGCAGAACAGCGCGAACGTGCTACGTCTCTGCCAAACGTCCGGAAGGCACCCGCCGGCAGGATCCTCGAGAAACTTTCTGTTCTCCGTGACGACGCTGGAGAACGGGGAGGCGCTGCGGGTGGGGGTGGGGGGGGCTGTCCCGAGGCGACAGGCGCCCCAGGAACGGGACCTGGGGCGCTCCCGTGTCTGTCCGCGGCCGCCGCTGGAATCCCTACGCTACCGGCATCATGGGCCCGCCTGCCCAGCAGCCTCCGTGTTTTTTCGTATCGCCGAGACACTATTTATGGGGTTGTCACTAAATGTCACACAATAAATGCAGCTTGGTGGGTGTTTGGTGGTCGGGGTCCAAAGGACCCAGTTCAGGGAGCCAGGTCCTCTCCAAACGCCCTCGTGGGTGGCAGTCGAGCTGGGGTCTGAGTCCAGATCCCTCAGGGCACAGGGGGCTTGGCCGAGTCCAGGCGGCAGAGCCTGTGGGTCTGCAAAATGATGCCCGTGTAGGCAGCCAATGTAGACACCAAAAGAGCGGCAAGAAGGACCGAAGGCTCCGGGGAGGCCGGATGGGAGGCTTCCAGGCACCTGCTGGGAGACGTGAGTGACCAGGGGCCGCTGAACCCTCACCTCCGGGTGCACGTCCCAAGGCTCTCCTGACCCCGAACCCTAACCGAGATGGGCCCAAGAGATGGGGGTCCGGCATAACTCCCACTCCTCCCTGTCCTGGCCACGTCCCCGTTTGCAAGATTTGAGCGAAGCCCTCGATACGGCGGAACCCCAGGCTTCCACCAATAACCTGGGACAGAGACACCTCCTTCTCTGAGGGCTGGGCCTCCCCACCTCTCCAAAGAGGGACCCCACATTCTGCTTTGCTTTGCACTCCCCAAAATCACCTCCCTGCCCCATGGCCCCCGGCGTGCTGTGCTGACGGAGGGTCTCTTTAAGGACAAGGACTCTTGTGAGCAACCTTTGTTCACCAGCAACAGGATTCATACAAAACCAGCCATAATGAGAGCACTGCGTGTTCATTCCCAGCAATTTGCAAAATCAGAACAGAAGAAGATGGTCTTACTCCCATCGAAACGTGCTCCCAATACTAGATTTTTTTCCCCCTCAAATGCACCCACCACTTTCTCACTGTAAACCTATTTCTTCCCCCCCCCACCCCCCGAGTCAAAAATACAGACAAGCATGAAACAAAAACGCGTGCAGTCTGCAGATAAGCATCCTTGACGTGCAGGGGTCAAATCGATTCTTGCACCTGCGGGCGGGGTGACGTGTCCCCGTCCTGTTGGCACTTTGCAAACACTGCACGGTGATCATCTGTCCCAACGAGCACCTGCAAATGTGCATCAGTGCTCACCGGGGCCCCACAGTCTGCACCCTCGTTTTAAAGCAAATCCGTGCAAAAACAACCCGCTGGTTTTGCACATAGTTTTAAGGAGTAGGGATGGTTCTCCACAAAGACAGGTGCATCGATGTGTGTGCTGCGTGTGGGCAGCACAGGGTGGCCGGGCTCTTTGAAATGAGGGTATAATGGCCGTATTTGGCGGGAGAAGCCCTGGGGAGGAGTGCAGATACTTCGCGCCTGGGGGTTCATGAACGCGTCTTCTGCTCGGACAGCTTTGCTTTCTTTTTTCTTTTTGTTTTTTCCTTTGTGTGTGTGTGTGTGGTTTGGATGAACAGCCACTGGGTAGCGTGGCTTCCGTGGACACGGGGCAGCAGTTATCTTGATCCCCGACGCTTCTCACATCCACGGGGAACGCGTGTCTTCGGGCCCCACTTGCCACGGAGACCGTTGTCTTAAAAGCAATGGGACAACTCTGCAAGTAACCCAAACAGGTGCCGGTCCCCTAAAGCAGACGCAGAGGCTCATCCGGCGGAAGAAACGCGCGCTCTCTTTCCGCCCTCGCCCTCAGCCACTGCCCGGCTGGCTCACGGCACGGTGAGCGTCTCCAGGGCTTCGTCACGCTGGGATGTGCTAGGTGCACGATGGGAATGGGCGACCCTGGTGCTCCCAGCCTGTAGGACCAGCCCCGGGGACCAGGGGAGCATGGCGGCCTCTCTCCACATCCTCGAGCTGCCCACACCGCCCGCCCGCTTGGACGCGTGTAGAAAGCTAGAAAGCCGTGCTGCTGGGTTTTCGGTGGTGGCGATGCAGGTCAGCTGAGAAATCTTGCCCAGACGGGAGTGGACGATGCACAAACGCGACGTTTTCAGGGGTGGCGGGGGCAGGGGATGAGGCCGAAGCCACAGTTTCCGCTAGTCCCCATGCCAGTCACGACATTTCCTCCACCATGAGGACATCCTCGGGTTCCTGGGAGCCCAGTGGTGGCGGGCGGCCGCCCTCCCAGGCGACCTGAGACAGAGAGAAGACGGGCAGCGTTGAGACCACCCATGCACGGGACCGTGATTGTGCCACCAAGAAAGCTTCAGTGCAGAGCTGCATGGCTCCCCGTGGCCGAACGGTGGACACACCCCCCGCCTCCAGTGCACGGATGCGTAAATAAACGTGTGCATGCCCGCAGGGGTACGGGACTCAGCCAAGTGCAGGAGCACAGATCGGACACCTGCCGCCCCGTGGATGGACCCTGACCACACGATGCTCTGGGGGAGAAGAACGCACGCAGGACCTCGTAGTGTGGGACCCCCTTGATCTGAAACGTCCGGAATGGGCAAATCCACAGACAGAATGTGGACACGAGCTCGCTGAGGGGGGCGGGGGGCTGCGAAGGGGATGAGGCTGACAGCTCATGGGGATGGGGTCTCCTTGGGGGGGATGCGAATGCTTGGGAACCAGAACACCCTGGCGAATGTGCTCACTGCCCCCGAATCGGGCTTTCCGAAGGGGCGAATGGGATGGCGTGTGAGTTGAGTCCCAAGAAAGCCATGTCATCCAGGGAAACGATGTGTCCATGACACACTCATCTGGGATGCACATCCGGGCAGCCGTCCCTTGCCTGGAAAGACCTCTGCAGACGTCCCACCCTGCCCACCCCAGGCGCCCCTTGGGGACCCACGCAGGCCTCCCCGGCTCCCCTCCATGCAGGGCTGATGCCCCGGGTGGCAGTCTCCCTGGGAGGACAGGGCTCCCTCTAGCCTGATGGTGGTGGCCGTGGGGGGCCCGGGCGGAGGGCTGCTTCAAGACTCAGGGGGGCCACCCCAATTTAAGAGGGGGTGACCCCGGCCAGCCTGAGGCTGAGAATTGTGTTTCCAGCTGGAACCTTATGGGAGGGGTCCCTTTGCGCCCACCGAGAAATAGGGACCTGGACGTCCACCCGCTGGCCACTCTTGCCTCTTAGACAAGCGGCATTTCCTGGACCACACATTGCAGAAGGGCATCCCAGGAAGGCTTTGGGGACCACCTGTACCAGCCAGAGTGTGGGCTGTGGACGGGACCCCGAGAAGTCAGGCTGGGCCCCTAACTCAGCAACGCCTTCCCCTGGAACGCTGAGACCCACAGAGAAGCCCCCTGCAAAACCCCAGAACCTCACCCCAATTTTATCCATGAACCCTAAACTCCGATGAGGTGGCAGCCAGGCCTCGTGGAAGCCCCAGGGGTAGCCTGAGGGGATGGGTTTCCCGAGGAAACAGCCTCAAGCCTACAACCAGAGCCCCTGTGTTGGGGGCATCCTTCTGCTCATCACAGGTCAGCACATGGGGCTGATACACGAGGAAGGTCAGATGGGGTAGGGGTGCCACCCCAGGGAGGGCCCCTCACCCGAGAGCCAGCGGCAGCCCCAGCAAACCATGGTCAGGGATTGAGTGGGGGCCCCCAAACCCCACCTCCATCCAGAACCACCACAGGCAGCTCTATGTGCAAATAAGGTCTGTACCCATGTAATGGGTTCAGGGTCTCCTGATGAGGGGTGCCCGACTCGCGAGAGGGAGACCAACAGTGGCCTGAGGACCAGCCCAGGATTTCCAACAAGGAAATAGGGCCACCCCACTTCCCCCGCCCCAGGAGCTGTTTCTGTCCTAAGCCCCGAGTTGTGGCTTTTGTGGTGAATTCCCCCCGGGCGGTGGAGTTTTGTGCTGAAGGCTGCTGGACGCAGGCCCGTGGCCCCTCCGCTTCCCTCTGCCCTCCAGCCCTGGCCCGGAACTGCACGCCAGTGTTGGGGAGCACAGGAGACCCCTGCCCAATCACACTGTCCCCCCCCACCCCCAGCAGCCCCCTCCTCCAAAGACTCGGAACCAGGAGGGGATGCACCCACCTCTGGGAAGAGAGTGTGGCAGGCACTCACCTCCGGGGGCGGCATAAACGTCCCGGTGATTTCCTTCTTCACCTGCGGGATTCGGGGGAACAGCCTGGACCTGACGGAGAACCTGCCGACCAGAGGGACATAGTGAAGGGCCCAGCGA